CCCCCGACCGACGCCGCCCGCCGCAGATCTATTGCAACAGGAGCTCCTCCCACCCCCCGACCGACGCCGCCCGCCGCAGATCTATTGCAACACCTGTAAGCTTCTCCGCCTCCTGAGTTTCTCTCCCCTTCGGCTCGGCTAGCTAGGGTTTCCCTCTACCTAGCTAGCTAGCTAGCTTCCTCTTCCTCCATCCTACCTCGGTTCTTACTGTTGCTGCAGCAGCGACTGTGGCGAGGGGAGGACGGGAACAAGGGGGGAAGATAGGATGGCGGGGAGGAGGGAGAGGATTGCGATACGGAGGATCGAGAATCTGGCGGCGAGGCAGGTCACCTTCTCCAAGCGCCGGCGGGGCCTCTTCAAGAAGGCCGAGGAGCTCTCCATCCTCTGCGACGCCGAGGTCGGCCTCGCCGTCTTCTCCGCCACCGGCAAGCTCTTCCAGTTCGCCAGCTCCAGGTACATCCTTCATGTGTGCATAGCTATCAATTGATCTCTCATCGATCAGCCAGTTTTTGGATGCACTTTCAATCTGACTCGCTTCTTGTTTTATCTGGTGTCTTAACCGATTACATCTACATTTATTAGTCCTGAGTTTTTCTTTTCTTTTCAGGAATCATTTGTCCCAAGTTTTGATTCTTCACTTTTTGAGATCGAGCGTTTTTCACTATCTAACAGTCTTTGTTCACGGATTGATATTTGATGTGCTGGGCTACTAGTACTACTCATGGTTTTCCTGTTACAAATTAGTTATAACAGAGGTGTTTTGGTACAACATATACTCATTTCGAGGTTCTTTTCGCATGTTCGACTCTTTTTCTCAGTGCCTATAACAATGACTCGTAAAGTCAAAGCAGTCAAAGCATGTGTAGATTCTCTAATGCTTAATAAAATATTTGCTTTGATTTGCTGTTTATAATATATAAGTTTCGCCACTGTTCTTCTATTATGACATGTGAGAGAGATCACAAAAGAGAGGGAGGATTTTCTTTTGGTAGTGAACCTAACCAGTAAAATTAACAATGTGTCTTCTCCGCTTTTAAAAATGCATTGTTTGTTCATGCTCAACTGTTTATTATACATTGTATTTGGACCTACAAGTCTCGTTTCTACCTTTTCTTCGTTATGCTTGCTGTTGTTCTAGGATTAATATATTCAGATAAAAAAAGAATTAATGTCCACTTCATATCTTTCCTGGATCAGAACTACTCCAAACTCGGACCACATGTACTATACAGCCTATTAGCATGTACGACTCTTTCACAGTCTTAAAAGCTGTCATTTGGGACAACATAGTATCTAACAAAATAAATAAAATAATAATTTTGAAGGAAAATTTACAAATGCCCTTTCAAAACACCCAATACCGTTTTTGTAAAAGATCAAAGTTTGTAGTTTAACCAGGACTTTATGTCCAAACTAAGCGGACTTTTTTATTCGAAATGACAGGAACACATAAGTTAGTAATTGAAGATCGCTGGCCATGTTCCAGTCACAACTATTCAATAATAATTTATCTAGTAAAAGGGAACAATAAGAGCTAGGATATGTAATTTGAGATATCACAAATGCTGAACTAATACAACGTTATACAAGGCAGAGCAGTTAGTGATTATGATATGTAATTTTGGGCCTACAAATGCTAAACAAATGTTATTGTGGAAGAGGTTGGAAACATGCGTTTGTGCTAAGATCAAATTGGTAAGCTTAAATGGAGTATATGGGAAATACTGTTTTTTGTGTGTGGGAAATATGGGAAATATTGTTAACTAATGCATGTCTCCTTAACTATGCATACTTGCATAGCATGAAGGCTATTAGTTGTGTTGTAAATTAATCCAATGCATAAATGAATAGAAGCAAAATGCATATATATATATATAGTAAACTACTAGTCATAACTGATCAAAGATGCGCACATATGGTAAAGTAGTAAGAGTAGTTATGACTGGTCAGAGATGTGCTGCGGCATGATGAACATGTTGGGAACAAATATGGCGTTTCAGCAAAATTTATTCAATAGATACAAAAGTTACAATCGTTCCAACTTAATGGAATGATATCATTTTTTTTGCGGGAGGAATAATATCATTGTTAGTTCCAGGGAAAATGCTTGTGCATGACATAAAAAGTGAATGGTTTTCTTGTGTGTATATTTTTACAAATAAATGCTCATGGGGTGTTTGTATGATTTTTCTTGTCTTTTCATGGCACGTACTCCAGTTCTGTATATCACTGACTCGAGTTGGCCTGTGCATGACATGATTTGTCAGGACGCATGCATGCATGGTTTGTTTAAAGCTACATCTGTATTCGTGTAGAATTAATGGCCAGGACTCTTGGACAAAAATGGTTAAAAAGATTGACCGGTCCAATCAAATATATGACCCCTGAACAGATTCCGTACTGTGCTCAGAAGGCAGCATTGCGCATCGGAATTCATCCCAGTATCAGTCCAAAGTTTTTCCATCTTTTCACGTTAGGCTAATGTGTACAATCATATTTAAGAATCAAATATAAAACGTTTTGTCGGTTCAATTTAAACTGCAAAATTTTCCTGTGTTTAGGAACAGAGGTAGTAATAATTAACCATCTCATAGGACCTTTTTCAGTTTGATGTAAGCATAGAAAACTACAGTGTATATAACGTCCATTTGAGAAGCATATCAGATGCAGATGTTTCACTAGCTATATGTACACACCTGACCAACTAATGAAGAGAAGCGATGTAGATTGTATTAACGTTCCTGTTTTGAATTAATCGAGATATCACCTTTCCCCAGACACAAAAAAAAACCACTTTGCTATATCGGCCCGAATATCTAATGAAGAACACAGCCAATCTCCACTATTTTGTATTCTGTTGTTAAGATGAGTTTGGACAAGATACCCATCCTTAATAAATTACACAGATATATTTTTGTTAAGATGTCATTATTAGATTTGTCTTAAAGTATATGCTGAAATATTTTTACGAGTTTTTTTAAGCAACGCATAGGAGCTCTGACTCTTTATTTTGTAGAAAAGATCGACCTTAATAACTAGATAATATTTGCCGCACTGCTATGAGAATTTAAAGCAATAAATTTGCCAAGAATAAAATAGAATATATGAGAATAATAACCATTCATATATCCTTCACATTCTCGCCATATGTGAACGGTAGAAAACCTAGCAGTAAATGGAGGGTGGCTTGCAGTGTCTTGTGACCTTCTAGCTTTCGTAGAATGATTTGTTGCTGAAGAGAATAAAAAAAATAAAAATTGATGGTGATGATGATGATGATGTGGCGGTATTGCATGTATTAGAAAATAGGATCGCCTATTTAGTTATATATATAGGATATGTAAAGAGAAAGTAAATCATCGGTTGAATGGATAATATTATTAGCATTATGTGAATATACTGAAGAAAATTTATCCTAGAAAATGTTCATCAACTAAAACGACATGCACTAAACCTTGAGTTCAGTATATTGAATATTGCACCATGTTTTTTTTTCCATTTTACTCCAGCTGTCTCAACTATAGCATTGATGTCATGCAGAGGCCGGGTGTCGCTCAATCTGCCTGTATCCGCTTGATGCTACCCCCTTTGTAAAGATATATAAGAGTGTTTAGATAACTACTTTAGTGATCTAAATGCTCTTATATTTCTTTACGGAGGGATACATTTTAAGTTAATAAAAGTACTCTTTATTAAAACAAGGTCCAAAGGCCGGGAAATGCACTTTGGTTCTTGGGTGTATATGCACCCTATATAGGAAAAAAACGAAGAAGTCCAAAAAGTTTGCA